GAATTGCATTCTTTGTTTCATCATAATCCAATTTAAGAAAATCAATGCGCGCTCATTCACAAAATTGAATAAAGGAAAAACCCTTTTTTTTTCGTTGGTTTTCTTTGGCAATCCTTGAACAATAAACGGGATACCTGAGCGAGTTTATCTGCACTGCAGTTGCATCTATTTAATACTCCCACGTCTCTTTAGGTGAAATGGCGCTCACATTTATTTCAAAGGAAAAAAAAAACATTATTTACATTATTTTACCCAACACAACAAAGCGTTAGAAAACCCTTCTTTCCTGCGCACAATGGTCAACCGTAATTCCGAAATAATAAAATAGTTACAATTGCCGCTTCCATCCCTAATTGGGGTAGCAATAAGATGTAATCTATCATAGTATATGTTTACTATCCGGAGACAATTACTTTTTATAATTAAAACTTAAAATATAAATTAAATAGGATTAGTGTTGTTTTTTTTTATTATTATTGTAATTTAGATTTCCACTTTGATACTAACTTTATTACACGCTCAAAACTTTAATTTCTTAATGATGCAACGGAATTTCTCAAGAAATTGATATTTTGGTTAAACTCTTTGATTAATTGCTTTCTTATTTAAAAAATAAGAGTGTAGATATTGATATGCGTTTTAGTAATTTACGAATTGATGAGCGTTTCGACGAAATTCATTGAATTTAGTTTCTAAAAATCAATCTATAAATAAAGTTAATTAAGTTTAGGTAATGATTCGTTGAAACTCTTCCTAATCGTAACCATCAGATAAAGTGCTTTAGTTTATGGCCACTTCGATCACTTGCATCCTTGTTGTAACTGGAGTGTTTGTGTATCTGTTGTTTTCCAGCAAAAATTACGAATTGAAGAGCGTTTCGACACGGACTAGTTTTTCATTCAATAAAAACGGATTACGATAAGTCTGATTGCGTTTTTTTTTTTCATGCTTTTATTTGTGTACAGACTCACGCACACAAATACCAATAATCATATATATATATATATGGTTTGGATTGCGCCAGTCTATGATGTTATCGCTTCCCTCAAGATCCATCCACGAAACTGGACCTAGTTGTCTGTGCAACCAAACGAAAACTGGTCTCGGGACATTTTATCATCGTATCAATGTTTCCTAATGCCGTTCAATCGGATCAATCCGGCGTACTTTTCCGATGTTACGTGCTTGTTTCAAGTACGCGTCTTCAATTGTTTGTCTATGACTTAACCAAGGATAGAGAGATAGTTTATGAATATGTATACAAAAAAAGAAGGAACAACAACACGAAACATCTAATCGATTTATGATATTTGAACTACCATTTTTTTTTTGTTAGTAAATAATGAGCCAACGAACCTGTGTGAGACGTTCTGTGTGGAATGCAACAATTCGTTGGGAAGTGCGAAATTCATGGGACAAGTTGAAGCACGATTATGAGGGGGAGTATTAGGATATCGGTGTCATATAAACTATGATCCTCACGAACGCCCTGCAATTTGAGTGCTCTCTAAAACTGGTGTTTGGGAAAAGAGATGAAGAAAAAAAACTTCTTTGGCGGTAAACGTTTCTCGAAATACCTACCTGTCCCGAAATAAGGATACTCCCAATAATATATTTCGCCTCGCAATATCGTTTGCAGTCGCTTCTCTTTCGAATTACCAAACGATAATTGGCAGGGATTATTATAAATAATGAACGGGTTTCTTTATTTCGAGCCACAACAACAATTCGATTGCATAATAATTGTGTCGTTCTTCCGCTCTTTCTTTCTTTCTTCTCGTTGATTCGTCGTCGTTGTGTGGAGGACGTTGCCAACGGCAGATTCGGCTCAAATTTAATTACGAAACATTGATCTACGAAGTGCAGGTACCGCAATGCAGCTCTCCGAAGTTGAAGAGGACGGGCTTCCTCCTCCGTCCTCTTCCACCTACTTCGGGCAGAGACAATAAGAAACCTGGCCTGCATAAGATTAATGGAATTCACTTATATTCCGTGCGCTCTCCTATCGTTCATTCAATCATTCTTTCCACTTTAATTAAGCATTTACTAAATCCCCCCCCACCCTCGACAAGTGCACTTGATTGATGATAAATACAAGTCTTAATTAATTTAGAAACTATCGATTATTGATCAACAAACATTTACATATTATAAAACGATTACTTTACAAAAAAATTAACCTTTATAATATTTTCTTAAAATTGTGTTTCCAGTAGAGATTCCATAGAAAACGAAACGAAAATTTTGATATAAATATTATTTTTAGTTATTAAAGAATAACTACGAAATCCTTAGTTTATGTAAATAATCTGTAAATTGAATGATTCTCCAATTGTAATATATTTAAATATTGTTATAAACAAAGAAACGTTTTCCATGATAGAAAAATATAAACAGAGAGACCATGATGATGTTTCCTGCGTGGTCATCGATCACCTCGATTATAGAAACGTTATTATTATTAGTAGTAGTAGTATTGTCGGACAGAGCAAAGTCGTCTGGAAATAATAGAAAAAAAATAAGAGCGGCGAGTTTCGAAGGACTAGGAGGAAAAGGTCTTTGACAAATTAACAATGGACTCGATTAGAGACAATACGCAATAAAAGCAGTGTAAAGTAGTTGAAATGGAATCGGTATTATCGTTTCACACACATAAATCTCCATAGGAAAGAACGAACGAACGGGAGAGGATCGGCGCGTAACGATGATATATTGAACTTGAGCCGCACAAAGGGCCATTCTATTCCAATTTCCGCATTATTTATACACACTTACGTGTGTGTCTGTGTATGCGTGTTTACAGCATTACAACAAAAAAGAACAGAGCTAAAAGGTTGCCTCATTTCCTGTGCGTGGATTAATAAACACAGCAATATCTGTACACGATGAAAGGGATCATACAAGACGAAGAGGATGATGATAGTAAAAGCCTGATGCTCCCCAATTCCTCGCCTTTTGAAACGCGTAGGCGCGGAGATTTCTAAACGGAGACTCTTAGACTGTCTGCGTTTGTCCAAAGTGTTAACACTTTTTGGGAATCTTTTCAACGGACCTTGGAGAGCCATTCTTTTTTTAGCACCCGCCTGATTTTTCTTGTCTTGGATTAGGAAAGGCGCGCGTTCTAAGCGCGGGAAGAGGTGAAGGAGTAGGAGGAGGAGGAGGGCAGAACAAAAGGCCGCTCTTTTTTGGTGAGAGGCGAGGGGCAATCGACGAAAAAGAGAGAGAAACACACACAAAAAACGTATATATTTTCAGGATATCCTCCGGCGATTTGATAACCCTGAAAAACCTAGAGATTTATGTAGATATAGGCCGGACAAGGTCCTTTCGTTCTCCGCTTGTATTTTGTATTTCTGCTGCGCAGCTGAAAGTGAAACGCGCCAAACAAACAAAAAAATAAATAAAATTAACAAAAACAAAAAAGAACCTTCTATCCTTCCCTGTCCAGCAGACGGTAAACGTCCACGCTCCTCTTTTATAATCATATGATAATGTGCGTGTGTGAGAAATGTCCGGGCCACCAGAGAATTGCCAAATACAGACGACGACGTTCCTATTAACAATTCGGGCCAGTCCGTGTGCGTGTGTAATGAATTTATTATGCGGATTGCCTCCTCCTTCCATTATTTTTATTATTTATTTCACTCTTCTCTCTTTTTTTATTTTCGAGGTCTCGCGCGAAATACCAAATTTAAAAATTCTAATTTTTACCGCAAAATGTCATCCGTTCTACCATTGCTAAAGGAAAGATCAAAACTGCATCCGCAGAGATGCATAAATCACATAAAATTTCTGTAATTATCGCACGACCGAAAAAAGTTATATAAAATAATGAAAGCAGGAGAGACGATATTCAAATACGAAAACCATACACACATACGCTCTTTTTTTTTTTCGGAAGTGATTACAAAATCAAGGCTAATACGATATGGAATTATCAGCGAGCGTGTAAAACAGATAAAGATGCGTTATCTGCCGGGGATTAAATCGTAAATTATTCTAATTGTGAATTAATGCAGTGAGTATCTGGATTAATCCGACGGAGGAGTACTGCTCCCTATCCAGAACGCCTTATCTAGGAGATCACGTTCTTCTTCTTCTTCTACTTGTTCTTATGTTTTACTCGTGTATTTTTTTTCATTTACTTTCCTCCTCTTCTATATTATTGCCGGGTACTTTACATAATGCGACCGTCGAACCGTGCAATAAACGTCCCCTACAATAAAATCACCCGACTTATTATCTTCAGTTCCTTATTTCATTTCATTCACACAAAAAAATGATTAAAAATTATTACACTTTAATAAAGAATTGTAAAATGTCCACTTGAACAATTCAAAAATTCTGTAATAAAAAATAGAAATTATTTAAATTTTATACATGAACATTTCTTAAATATTATTTTCACAACAGAGCATAATGAAAGTGTTAAATATTTAATATATTAACTTACTAGTTTATATAATAAATAATTTGAATTTTGATGGTAATATGTATGTAACCATTGCAGCAAGAAAATTTAAATTTTTAACTTTCAAAATTTGTTGGTAGATGTCACTAGACTAAACTTATTAAACTTAAATATCACCATTAATAAATTAACTACCAATAAATACAAAAAAACTTCCCACTCGATTTGCTGGTTTTGCAGAGGTTTCGACCTGACACTCACCACTTTGTTGTAGATAGTAAATGTCAAGAGATTTCCAGAAGGAGACTTATTACCGGAAGAAGAAGAATAAATACAAAAAACAATTTAATAAGTTGTAATTGCAGCAGCTCCAAAATAGTTAAATTTAGCAATGAAATGGAAAGAAGTCGCTAATATAAATAAGATAAAACGTTGATTAATCTATTTATATTCTATCAATAAAGTTAACTTTTATAATATTTTTATTTGATATTTCTTTGAGAAACATTTAAATTTAAATGTATATTTCAATTATTTATTTGATATAGTTCCATCTAGTGAAGAATTTCAGAATTTCCCTGACGTTTGATTATAATTTAAGGTTAACCAAAGTATAATAAACACTGGGTTTTAAAATGAATTAGTAACGTTTTCCATTTAAATGAAATTATGGATGATTACGAAGAAGAAAAGTTCAATTTCTTTGGGAAACCATTAGAGCAATACGACGAAGGTATGTAGTGCAGTATAGTTATATGAAATGTATTAATTGGTCATTATTTTTATTTAGATGAGATTCCCAAGAAGAAACCGATTTTTGTGGAGGATCAAATCGCCACGGATAGCAATGGTAGGCGTAGGTTTCATGGAGCGTTCACTGGAGGATTCTCTGCTGGATTCTTCAACACCGTTGGCTCTGCTGGAGGATGGCAACCAACCGAATTCAAGAGTTCCCGATCGGAGAAATCCGTGAGCACAATACGAACAGCCGAGGATTACATGGATGAAGAGGATATCGGGGAGTTCGGTATAGCCCCGCAAGTCATCAAAGCCACGAAAGACTTTAATACAAGCAAAAAACGTAAGAAGAAAGTTTTTTCTGATGGACCTATACCTGGTGTTCCTGTGCTGCATATGCTCATTGACAACAGCACTGAAACCATTGGTTATTTGTTGTTGAGGAATATTGGTTTTAAGCATGAAGGTACAGAGATTTCCAAGCAGCAGAGGGTGTATGGTTCTACATCTGCAAAGGCTTATGAGATGAGGCCATCCATCAGGAATTCAACATACAAATTACCAGAGATATATGAGGAAGCTCTGAAGATTCATAAGAACAATACATTTGGTATTGGATATAAAGGTTTGGATCGCGGTTACGCCAGTTTAAAGCTTTCGCAGAAAAACTTTGTTGTGAAAAATGTTAAAAACAAGAATATGACCATCGGTGGACAGGCGTTCGGAGTTGGAGCGTTCGAAGATGAAGATGACGATATTTACGGGAGAGAAGATATAGAGTCTTATGATTTTGAAATGCACACCGAGAAGCAGCAGGAACAGATCAGAGTTACTGGAAGGGTGCTGTTCGATTCGTTTATCTTAAGCTCTAACTATTTGGCGGTGAACGAGATATTTCCTGTCCCAACGATTCCTCGCAGCTTCTCCGGAAAGCATAAAGTGAGGAAGTCCAGATTTGCTCCTATCCAGGATGAGAGTAGTAAAGAAGAACCTAAAAAGACGCGTAGATGCGATATTGATGCCACTACTAGAGCCGAAGCATTGGGAGAAAAGGCACCAGAGAATAGCGGCACTTCATCCAAGTCCGAGGATATTAAACCAGAGATAAAGGAGAAGAAGGAAGATGTAGCACCATGGCTGGTATTCGATAAATTCGTCTCGGCCGGGCAATCTGACGAGCATACGGATCCTATGGTACCCGCGGAGAAATCTTCCTCCGTTTATGGTACTGAGCATCAAAGGGAAGCAGCGAAGCTGAAGATGTTTGGTGACTTCACTAGAACTACCGAAGATTGGTTGCCGCATACGTTTCTCTGTAAAAGGTTTAACGTTCCAGAACCTGCCCATTGGTAAGCTATTAATAAAATACTCATATGAATGTTAATATAATATATTAATCGTTTTGTGTATTCCAGGGAAAACGTAGAGTTAAAAACACCAGTGCGCAAGAGAAACCTGATATTCCAAAATGAAAAGGAAGTGGATGAAACGGGACGTGTGCAAAGTTCCGGTCTGCAAAATAATCCCGACTTCAAAGTCCCACATGAAAATCAATCATTAAAAACAATCGATTCCAAGGAACAATCCACGAAAAATGATGAATCTAAAGAGGGCGACATCGGTGATTCTACTCCACTAATGGAAGTAGAAATTCCTACTATCGATATAACCGAAAAAATTGACGTCTCAAAGAACAAGGACTTATTCAAAGCAATATTCTTTAGCGATGACGAAGATGAGGATACCGTAGAGACGAAGGTAGAATCAGAGTCCAGGGTAAGTGAACAGGAGAAGCTACCATCACCACCTCCAACGTCCGACAGTAAAATGGAAGAGATGAAAGAGGCGATTTTAGCGAAGGACATATTTCTGCCAAAAATCAAACCGTTGAAGCAAGGAATTCTATCGGATATACCATTCATCAAGTTTACAAAACCTGGAACGGTGCCCACCCAGCCAGAACCTGAGGTGATCGAGGAAGTTCCGCAACAACAGCCGGACGATAATCTGTACGGGCCTAAATTACCGGAGAAGATTGTAAACAGAGTGGAGAATCTGATGGAATCGAAGAGCGATGATGTGTGGGTGGAGAGGAAAGAGGAGAAAACGAAGAAGGAAAAGCATAAGAAACACAAGAAGGAGAAACATAAAAAGAAGCACAAGCACAAACGATAAGGGATTCGTTGTTGTCTTTATTAATTTAATGTATAATAAAATAAAATTGCCCTAAATTTCTCTCATTTAAGTAAATAATCCATCCCTATTACCCGATTATCAGCCAGAAATAAAATACTGTCTACGAAGTATTCAAATAATTACCTGTAATTAAGTGGTTTTGTACTGTACAAAAAGGTGAATAAATAAGTGGTATTCCCGCTAAGTGACTAAAGTTTAGCTTTAGATCATCATCGATCGAACAAAGGTTCATGCGAATCAATCGTTGTTCACAAATCCTTAGGTCAACCGCATGTTTAAATCTTGACCTAAAACATACTGGATTTACTTTCGTCTGCCGCTTCGCTCCTTCGAACCATCCAGAAGTTTGTAAGCCGGCAGATATGACCCGTTATAGTACAAATCAGGATTTCTATCAGTATTGTCTACGTTTCCTAAGGACGTATACCCTTGATCGTACAATCCGCAATAAGGCACTTTAAAGTCCAAAAGATAATCCCACACCTCACCGTAATCCCAATCCAACAACGGACTGACCCTCATCACCTCCGGCCATCCATTATCCGTCATCTAAATGCAAACATTAATAAAATTTGAAATCATTTCTAATCCTACCTTCAACTATATCATCCATGATTCATTGACTTTCTCTCTGTCAACATAACTATAATATTATAATCCATTCATTATAGTCAAAGGTAGGATTAATATTTTCAGACATACCTTGAAATGTTGTAGATTTTGAGAGAATGGATCAGTCCTTCTAGTTCCCATTAGGCAAGCCTTCAGATTGGGCCTTTCGTTGAGGATATTGGTTAAAGCTTCTTTGATGCATGAATCAATAGTGATTACCTCCAATCCATAAAACTCTTGCATATCAGCAATAAATTTATCAATTTCATCGAAAGGCATCTTGCTCTTTACATACATGCACAAAACAGGTGTATTGTATTCAATATAATTTCTTTTTAGAACAGCAAGCATCAAGTGCAAAAGCACTGTACAGTCCTTGCCACCATTGAAACTGATAAACACATTATCAGGTCCATAAGAATCAAAACATTGCTCTATTTTCTAAACAAAAATCATTAAAAAATTAGTAAAAACATAAACATTAGGCAACTAAATCTACTCACATGAATAGCTTCTCTAATATTAACTTTACCACAGGCAAATAACTTGTCATGCAAGTCATCGAAATACTCCACATTTGTTAATTTACTTTTGAAATTATTCTTCAAATGTTTCTGTATGTTATTTACAACTTCAACTTTAGTAGATGTGACCTGCAGACCACCACTTGAGTCAATCTGAAGCTCAGCATCCTTGAATTTAACACTCCTCGTTAAGTTTCCTAAATTCTTACTATCCATGAATGTAAACACTTTAGTGTACTTGATTGGTTGTCTCAAGTATGCTATGTGATCAATTAAAGCACTCCAATTATTGAAGTAACCTCCCAATATGAAAGATCTGTACATGAAAAAGCCATCTCCTTCTTCACTATACTGCCAGGGCAATGCCCCATTTAAGTCACTTTCCGAACCAATCAGCAGCACTACATCCTTCTGATTCACTACATCCTGTATTGCACCAATGGGAAACCTCTCCAGATTGCATCCAATGTTAGCAAGATTCTCGAAGAGACCTTCATAGCCACTGCTATCACACATCAATTTCCCATTGGCTTCTCCCAGAAAAACAACACCAATTGTGTTGAAGGGCATCCTGATACATGGACACGCTTGGCTCGCCAGGCCATAGACAAGTGGCAAAAGAATTTAAGGTTAAACTGTCATACTTAACTGTTATCATCAATGTTACCACATCGCTACCGTAATTGGGTCAGCAATTATCGCATTGGCGGACGACAATATATACTTACTTGAAGGCAATACTATTATACAGGTGCATGATGTATAGATTATCGAACATTCTTTTACAGGTGAAGAACAATTAACTTGAAGGTAAACGATAAATTTTCAAATTTTTTGCCCTGACACTCGGAATACCAACATTATTTGAAACACAATTGTTTATAAATAGAAAAAAAAAAGCAGCATTGAAAACAAAAATTCTGTATATATTACATTTGTAAATGCCGTCCTTATCGACAAGTTCTGAACAACAAACTTTGTTATGATTGTAGACCAACTATTTTCTTTTCTATTTTAAGTTGTAGACATAAAATTAGCTTAACGCAGGTATTAAAAGTAGCGACTGATAAGAACTATTAACAACAATTTTATCATTTTTGTAAAGTTGATGCAAAACAACAGTAATTTTGAATCTAGTAAGTTTGGCATATGCAACCAAATGTACACGTTTATTCAAATTTGAATTTCATTCATCAAAATTGCAGAAGGCGTTATAAAAATAATTATTATTTTAAAATTAGCTACTATATGCTATAAGTATTATATATTGTACTAGCAATTAAGGAGGATGATTCATTCCTTTATTAAACTCTATATGTAGTTCTTATATGACTAGATGATTACTTATATGATTATTAATGTTGTTTATATTAATATTACATGTACCAGTTTAGGTGTAAATAATTAATAATCTTTTTTTTGCAGCTAACACGTGCTTCCAGTATTGTGTCCACCCTGTATATATAGCATCCTGGCGTCTGGATTGTAGAAGGGAGATGGTGAATGTAGGAGTGAGAGTGAAAGAGTATGTGTATGTTGAAAGAGGAGGACGAAGAAACGGCATGAAGTTGTTGTGCGTTGAATGTGTGTTCAAAACATGTCAAATGCAGGCATCGTTTTAAAAATGGACGACGTTAAATGGTCATAGTTTCCCTGATTTGTGAATTTGTTGAATTATGTGCATGGCTTTCTGATCTCTGATCAAGCATCGGGATGGCAGATAGGAACGAGAAGGTGCTCGTTGAGCTGCTGAAACATGCTGGGAACAACGTGTGCGCCGATTGCGGCAGCAAAAGTGAGTACTACTACTACTACTGCAATCCCATCCTCCTCTCGTCTTAAGCAACAAAACTGCGGAAAAAGTGCATGCACACAAACAAACTATTCGTGGAGATAAGTGGATGATGCATGAGTATTGTATTAACCCTCTATTTTCTATAGAAAAATCGAGTTTGCCGTGGCACGCACGCCTTTTGGCATTTGTTTTTAGGGGTGTAAACAAGCAGTTGATTCAATTAAGTTTGATCAAGTCACACAAGCCCACATGTTTTAATTGGCCAACAATGAGGAGGCCCTGTTTCAATTGAATTTTTATAAACTGTACACTTATCTTGCAGATCCCGAATATGCTTCCTACAATATTGGTATATTCATATGCACTAGATGTTCAGGTGTGCACCGCAGCATGGGTGTGCACATCAGCAAGGTGAAGCATCTGAAGTTGGACAGGTGGGAGGATTCCCAAGTGGAACGCATGAAGGAGGTGGGCAACAATGCTGCAAGGCAGAAGTATGAGGAGAGGGTGCCACCCTGCTACAGGAGACCAAAAGAAAATGACCCACAGTAATATACAAATATCAGTTTATTTCACAAAAATAAATATCTACTTAAATAATAATTTTTAATTTGATTAAATAATTTCTTTTAATGTCAATGTATTTAAGTTATTTTGTGTATGTTTTTAGGGTGTTGATTGAACAGTGGATTAAGGCCAAATATGAGAGGGAAGAGTTCAGTCATCCAGAAAGACAGTGTTACATAAGTGGCTCGATGCAGGGATTCCTGATGAAGAGAGGTAAGGAGGACAGCAGGTATCATCCAAGGAAGTTCGTGCTGTCCGAGTCCGATGATACGCTAAAGTACTTCGTGCGGGAGAACCGCGATCCAAAGGCTATACTGCGCGTTTCGGAGATCAACGTCGTCTTCGCTCCGGAGAAGATAGATTATCCGTCTTCGCTGCAGATCACGTTCCTGAAGGACGGTACGACGAGACACATCTACCTGTACCACGACGATCCAGAGGTGATCACGAATTGGTACATGGCAATAAGATGCGCGAAGCTGCACCGGTTGCAGGTCGCGTATCCAGCCTGCAGCGAGTCCGAGCTCGTAGGTTATTTGGCCGAGGACTTTTCCAAGGAGGGCTGGTTATGGAAGACCGGTCCCCGACCTACCGACGGTTTCAAAAAGCGCTGGTTCACTTTAGACAATAGGAAACTTATGTATCACGACGAACCGTTAGATGCACATCCAAAGGGAGAAATATTTATTGGTAATTAATAATTAAGACATTTCTCAATTTATCTGATAGTCTCATATTGACAGCATAATGATTTTTTTTTTAAATATTTTAGGACACGCCTTAGATGGTTATGGAGTAAGAATAGGCGTGTCGGCGGGAGTGAAGGAGCACCAAGGTTTCACGTTCACTTTAACCACGCCCGAAAGGGCGTATAATCTGTCGGCGAGCTCCGAGAACGATCGGGATCAGTGGATCCAGGTCATCGAGAGGGTCATAGAGCGACAGATGACGCCCCAAGATAATTTAAGTAAGCATTAAGGATGCAGCGACAAACCTCAAGAGATACGTTCTAATTTAAGAATTCTTTGCAGTATCCGCGCGGCTGATCAGGAAAAGGGCGAACACCAACTCGATAAATATGTTCTTACCGAGGTAGTCGTCGCATGACAGACATATCACTCTTTTCCAAAAAGTAAACTAAAAACACACCCAATAAAAGAATCATCATCACTTCTCGCCTAGTCCCACTTCTCCGACGCCACCCACTTTCCACAACCAACCTCCGTCATAAAACTATCAAAACATCGGCAACAGCAAGACAAGAAAAAAAAAACTATTATAATTAATAATATTATTACACTAAAATCGTCTTCATTATTTAGTTTTTGTTTAAATACTCAATCATTTTATCATATACTGTACTATATAAGAATAAACAATACGAAAACCAAAACGTTTTATTTTATATATATTACATCAACTGCTGCATCTCTTTCATGAACTGCATGTAAGCATCGTCTTTCGTCGGTTTACCGTAGTGTTGGTTTTGCGTCATAAGTATCTCTTTCTGTTTGAGTTCATGTACCAAAGCCCTAGAGCTTTTAGGTTTCTTGTCTTCGCGTTTTACGCGCAATGTTGATGGCACGAAGCGGGTAACGTCCGCGCTTAAATTCCTGATCTGCGGTTTCGCAGATATCGTTGCACTCTGTTTGGCCGCTCCGTGCTCTCTTTGTATCAGCTGAGGAGCAGCAGATAGCACATTGGGATTAGGTATTCCGAGGCCTTGTGAAGGTGGCGGCATACTGGGAGGTGGACCAGGTAATCGCAGAAGGCGAGGCGGTCCACCCATCCTGAGTTGCGGTAGACGAGGTGGAAGGCCAGGAGGAGGTCCTGGAGGTAGTAGAGGACGACCAGGAGGTGGGCCCGGTGGCACCCTCATTCCCACATTGGGGAAGAGACCTGGTGGTGGTCCTGGAGGATTCATCGGTGGTTTCATTGGCATTGGGTCGCTCGTTCCCGGAGGAGCTGGCGATTCGATTATGGGTTTAGGACGATCCTCCTCCGGTTTCTTCTGCGTAACCTCTTCCATCTCCTTCATGAAATCGTCAACGTTTTGACCAGAAATTGCGACCATCTTCTGCTGCACCGACGTCGGTTTAATAACATCATCGATTTCATCCTCCGAATCCCTATGGACTATAGCCTCGTCCATCTCTTCATCCGAATCATCAAGTTCACCGTCACTGTTAATATCTGGAGGAGGTCCGGGCGGACATCCTGGAGGATCTCTCATAGGTTGACCCTAGAAACCGCATCAATGAACAAAACAGTAATACAAAAAATAAACTATTTGTATTACCAAAGCCTGCAGTTTTAAAGCTGTTGCAATCGAGTAAATTGTATGTTCCGTCTTTTTTATTTCCGTTGGTAAGGGGATCTGCAACCCCGTCGAAGATGGAGCTTGCTGTGGGATTTGTGGCAAAGGAATCTCATCAACTGTAACTTGTTGTGCAGACTTGACAGATTCATAGAAGGTGAGCAGCTGAACCCTCTTGTGCTCATATTCAGTCTGCCTCTTCTTCAATTCCGACCATTTCTCTTGATCATCTTTGTGCTTTAATGAATAATACACACAATTATTTAATTGCAATTCACAAAACAACACTGAGAATACTTACATACATACCAAGAACCCTATCCAAAGTTTCCCTCAATTTTTTCCTTTTATCTTTCAAAACTTTCTCATTCAGTGGTGAAGGCTGAGACACATTAAATTCCATTTGATCTATCTTCTCCAACTCCTCCAAGAGTTGCTGTGGATCTTTGCCTTTTAAGACAGCAGCCCTAACCAACTGTCTCTGCTTCTTGTTTTTCTTCAACTCTTGCTTTCTAGCCTCCTTTCCTGTTTTAAATTACACACATTATTATTTAGCATAATCCTACAAGGAACTCATTGAACACTTACTCGCTTGATCTGTGGGGTTCATGTATTTCCCACTCTTGGTGGTATTAATTGATCTTCGTCCCATCTTGTTGTTGTGACTTCTTCGTTTTACACTACACTAAATAGTCGTGACTATTGAAAGCCCACCTTATTATAATACCAGCTCAGAAAATTGATCATTTAATTAAAAGACACACATGATTATATTTATATGTCTCATCCAAGATAATAATATGGTTCCACAATAAAAACAAACAGCGAACTGAATATAGCTGAATATAGCTCAAAGTCAAAGTCAAAATTATAATTATTTAGTTTACACATAGAGGTCGCAGCATAAGAAGATTAAATTTTACATTAAATATACTTCATCAACTGAAAATTATATTGTATATATAAATAATTACTATTTCTTAGTACATATATATTTTCAAAAGAACCAGTAATGATGTGTTAGAGGTGTTCCTGTTCTGTGCCACCTCTGAGCATTCCATACAAGTTTATAGTTCAGATATTTAAGCGCTGTTCAAACTTGGCGTTTGCAATTAGGGCCTTAAACAAGAATATAAATTAACAAAAATATTCAGTTTATAATTATCTTAATATTCATAATTATTGGTTATATATAGACTAATTAATAATTGATTTATAATTGATTGAAAATTTTATAAAACCACCACCTGTTGATATTCGATTGAAACATTTTAAACTTTAAATTACTATTGTAATTAGTTTATACTGTGTACTCATAGATAATTAATACTGCTTTATAATCATTACTTATTATTGTATGCACTATAAATAGTTATTGAGCAAATAAATTTGATGGAGTTTTAATCGCCTTGTCTATAAATAGATAATTTATACACATGTTCATTGCAATTAAAACTTTGCATCAAGTTTACTCCAATTATTTCAATATCAGTATTTGTAAAAAAAAAGAAACAAGTATACTGGTTTAATTGCGTTGATTTACGTTCGGATTTAAATAAAATAGAAAACGCTCAGCCTGCGATTTCAGTTAAATTAATTTGAAACCGATTGAAATCGAGAAAGTGTTTTCCTAAGAAGAAATTTATATTTATGGTCGCCTGTGACAATTAAGCAAGCAAACAAACGAGCACATGCACACGACCAAAGATCATGATTCTTGTATAAATTTTATCAATTGCATTCCTATTCACATTTAAAACTCATTACTCACTTTTACAGGTATATTTAATTGTTACAATTAGTCAGAAAGACTTCAGTCGTTGAGTGTTGTTTGAAATGGTTGAATATTCAAATATTGGAGACCAAATTTTTTGATGTTAATGATTGCAAATAGCAATTCCAAAAGAGATATTGTAAATATACTATAAAAATGCAAAATGAAAATAAGTATGTGAGAGTTGTTTTTTGCTTGCGACTAATTACCGGTTTATATTTGGCATCTGAAGAGCCATCGATCCGGAGTGAAAACGCATCAACGAGAATAACGAGCGGTCTGGAAAGGAGAGGCGATTTACGATTTACCCTCTCGTTTCCATTTTTTTTGTTTTTTCTTTCTTCTTCATTTGCTTTTGTCTTGTTTTGCGAAACAAGGGCCTCCCGCGTTGCGTAACATCGACACCTCCGCGAGTTTGCGCGCTCTGCTTTCCCCGAAAAGAAATGGAATGAAACGTTCTTCGATGGGAAAGGGGAGGTCAGAACAACAATAAAACTGTGCGTTTCGCAAAAATCCCGTGTCCATTGGGCGACGGCGCGTTTCCACTCGATTCCCTTACGCAACTGCTTGTTCTAATTTGAATGCAATTTTCCTTCCTTCGTACCGCTTTTCCAATCCTTTTAGTTTCGTTTGCTTCTTGCAGACTTTTTGCCACCGGTGCTCAGACGAGCGTGAAGTTAAACACCATTCCGATGTGCACGGTACTCCATTTCTTCGATTTTCTCCTATCCTCTGCTCGATTTACTTAATGGGTCTCTCTCATTACCGAACCAAATTATCCAATCCGTTACATTCAAACGGATTACCTATCTTCGTCACGCTTCTCTCCACAAACCTTTTTAACATTGCAAATCCTGCAACTTACACCTATTTACATTAATCACCAACTAAAAGTACCAAATCATAACTTACTAATTTGAATTCAATTCTACTAAATCTTCATTAAAAACTTAACAACCAGAAAACATATACATTTTCGTAATACTTTTTCTTTTATTAATTATAATTTATTCTATTTTTCAACTTAAAAAACTTATTAAATGAATAAACTCAACTAAGCACGTACAATAAACTATAGATAAACATCTCTGAGAATTTCTAAAACATTCCAGCAAAGAGATTTATTCCCTTACACATTTTTTTGTTTGATTTGCTAATAAGTCTTGATTATAATTGAAAATAATGTTATATGCATTAATGTTAATGTTGGACTCGGATTTCTCCAAATTATAATTGAAAATAACTATATTTCTTTACATCTCTATGGATTTCTAGCGCTAATTCGTGTTAAAATGTTAACTTATAATGCGTTCTCTTATTCTCACAGCTGAAGAATAGATTTGTGGGTCAGTTCCGCACTCGGAAGACACGCAGCGTATAATTTTTAACGCATTATACTCCTCAGCAATTAACATTCCTACAGTAACAAAAAAACATTGCATTTCACCACTTTTTTTTTTCAAGTTCCTTTATTTTAATTTAATTAAGTTAATTGCATTTTTAGACTGCATTAGTTTGTTCATTAAAAAATAAAGCAAATTTAGACATACTTAATTAAACGTGTATACAAAAGTCTTCGCATTTTAGTGATTTTCTCAGAAACTATAAATGGAATTCAATTGGCTGTAATTTTCTTTGTTGACGCCAAAAGGAAGGACATAAAGGTTGTGACTGCTTTCTTCTGGAAAGACTGAAAGAGTGATAAGGCTTGAGTAATCAATTGAAAAGTTGCAATCGACGAATTGTTTGGTAACGGACAATGGTTATCTAATAATGTTTTGTTTATTGTTTTGGAAGGACACGTTTGCAGCTGAAGCCGTTTCAAGAAGAAAGTCAAGCCGTGCCGATATGGAAACGTTAGGGAAAGTTCTGCACGGTTTAGTAACAAGTTTTAGAGAGAAAGACGACTGCAAGAACAATATAGTGACAACAACAACAAACGTAAACGATCTTGAAAATATATGTGTTTGCTTGACGTCTTTATCTTTCACTCGTGGTCTTTGGGAAATCCGTGAATCCTCCTGCACCAGAGAGAGTCAAAGGTCTTCGCATTGAAATTCTGTACTCGTTATTTCGCACGGTTAAGATTGGAAGATTCGCAAATCTCGGATTCTTACTGTTTCACTGTAACGTCGAAAATGAAAACGTTTCATGCACATTTATGCAAGATTCAAGTGCATAAATTGGAGTGGCAGCGAAAGTGCACCCAAGGCTAGATTAAAGTGTACATATATATATATATATAAGTTTAAAAAATGCTCAAAAAAGCAGTGTTTTTACATTTAATTGATTTTCTCGAAAACTATAATACATACCAACGTATTTCATATAAATCATACTTTAACATTATTTCTTCGCATTTTACATTATATTAACATAATTAAAGACTAAATTTAAAAAAACTATTAATTATACAATTTATGTCTACTCTACAGAGGTTTCAAAATATTATTATAATCAGCTAATATTTCTTATTATGAAATCTGCATATGATTAATAAGTTGCATTTTAATTGAAAAATAATAATTTTGTTTATATATACATAAAAAATGGTTTGTCAGGTGTGGGGTTCGAACCCACGCTCCCAATCGGGAACCAGAGCTTAAATCTGGCGCCTTAGACCGCTCGGCCAACCTGACTTATATAAGAATCTCTCATTATTTTCATATAGAAACACGAACTTGTTATTGAACACCAATTTATTAGATAATTAAACAATTTATATAATATTACAATAATAATTTGATTTATAATAGATATATTTTCAATTGACAACATAATTTGATGGAAAGTATGAAATGCGATGACTTATTTATTTATATAATAGAAAAATGATAATAAAAAATTGGAGAAGTCTTAAATCTTCTTAAAGAATCGTGGGTGGCGCAGGTTGATATTAGAAAGGCGATTTGCATACAAAAAAAAAACGAGAGATACAAAAACAAAATCGTGATCGTCGACCATCGATCATTCATACTTAATTAATAAATTAATTAAATCGTTTATTACTTGTTCGTTTTGATCATTGAACTTTTGCAAAATTGGTGAAGCAAAGTGTCGAGAATATGTACAGCAATTTGCATGACGATCACGCGTCTGGTGAAATTTCTACGTGCCTTCCGACGGATCGAAGAAATCGGCGCTTTTTATTTCTTTCGTTCGCTCTTAATTATTTAACGACGCAACCTTACGTAAACCAGCATTCCGCACTTTTTTTTCCAATTCGCAGCTCGTCCTTCCCAAAACGCACTTCCTTTATATTGATTGACCCATACATTAACAACAATTTCAAATTACTTTCATTACCATGATAATCAAGTATCAATCATTTACATAACATTGTTTATACGTATTAACAGTCCGAAAAGCATTCACTTAAGAGCGAGATTTAAACACTTTTCGGAAGAAAGTGAAACTGAGTCATACAGGTTTTATATTTTTTTTCTTTGCAAATAACATCTTCGTTTTCCCACGCACAAAAGCGCGAACGAGATTACGAAACACCTCGTTTATTATTTATTGCCATTTAACAATTTGCCCGTTTCAAATCACCAATTTCCTTTATTATTATACACTATAATTTCTAGTTAACTATCTAGAATTTGCATTATATAATTTTGCAATTTAAAACAACTATTTTTTCTTAGTTTTCATTATTTTTAAATTATTACAGTCCACAATATATTAAACACGTAATTAAAAATTCAGGTATTTTTATTACTGTCTGCTACAGACTTATAAATATTAAATTTTGAATTCGAATGTATACATTTCTTCTCTTTTTATTAATCATTAATTAAAATTTCAATATTTTCTTGATGAATAATCAATAAATAATCTTCTACACTAACTCCATTCGTTCGCTAATCATAGACGAAGTGTAAACTAGCAGATTTACATTTATTTGTTTTTATTATTTAAAAAAAATATATATCTTCGGTGATTTGTTATGCTCGCTCGTTTGCATCAGTTTGCACCTGTCGTAAACCAGAATAAATTAGAATAAATCGGCGGTGATTACGAGGATTTACGGATGCATTCGGTCCGAGATGCATTTAATTGAT